TTAGTTCCTTCCTTCCTTCCTTCCTTCCTTCCTTCCTTCCTTCCTTCCTTCCTCCCCTCCTTCCTTCCTTCCTTCTCTTTCTTCTTTCTACAATCCCACACAAATGAAAAAACACTCTTAGCTTGCAGGCCACATGACAAAGACCGTGGGCTGCATTTGACCTGTGGTTTGCACTTTGCCCACCCTGTCTTAGAAGCAGAGCTGGAGAAAATGATTCAGGCACACCTGTTCTTGGATGCTGCATTGAGGAGATGCTCTGAGGAGGAAGAGAGAGAAGAAACCAGGGCAGGCCAGAGGAAGCGAAGCAAGGATGTGGAGGACTTCAGCCTGATCCCACAAGGACTTCTAGAGCATGACTTACACCAGAGTTGCACTTGGGCTTTCGTGGTGCTCACACGTCTGCAAGTCATTCATTGGGTGGATTACCTGAGGGAGGGTGCATGCTTCCAGGAGACAGGGAAGGGGGCCCTGGGGGCAGTAGCAGCCAATACTCATGGAATCTGGAGGATGGGTACACCAGCCTGGAAAAGAAAATCCACCAGAAGAACACTAAGAAAATTAAAGTGGTTTCTTTGGTGGGGGGCAGGGGGGAGGAACATATTAGAAGCAAATAAAATATGGAACAAGAAGAAGTGACTATATACAAGATATATATACTATATATATATATACTATTTACAAGTTACTACTTTAAAGCAGTAACAATTTCAATACACAGAGAACCCCTATTTTATGCAAGTTGTTTGAGAAAATGGAAGAAAAGTAAAAGCTGATGAAGAAAATGGAAGAAAAGTAAAAGCTAATGAAGTTTTTTGAAGCTAAAATAATCCTGATTCTGAAACCACAAAAAAAAAGTAATAGAAGAAAATTATTGGGCTATTTCATATTTGAATGTAGATGCATAAAAATAATGGCTAATGAAACTCAGTTGCATAATTACCCAGAGGTCGGTACGTGGAGCTAGAAGTTCCATCTCTACAATTACTGGTCATTCTGGTAACCAGCCCCCATCCTGAGGCTCTCTGGAGGTTCCTACTTTAAGTTACCTCTTTAGCATACAGTCAGGTATGGTAAAAGAGGTTTGTTAAGAGGAACAAAATGTTCTGTCCCCACTTTGGAAATTCCAAGGGTTTTAGGAGCTCTGTACCAGAAACCAGGGACGAAACTCATGCATATTTCTTATTCTAGCACACCATTCTTTCTTTTCCTCATCTGACTGTCACCTCAAAGTCTATAGACACACTTTTGTACTGGGTACTGACTCGGCAGTCTAATAGCACTGGTTCAACTTCGTGTTTTGATCAAAGCTCTGTGACCTTGGACAAGTGATTTAATCTCTTTAATATTCATTTCCTTACTCTAAAATGGAGATGCCAAATTCACACCTCTGAGTTTCGTGCTAAATATTAAATGGAATTATTGTCAAGTTTTTGTACAGCACCTGGTCCATGAGTAGTTGCAGCCAGATCTTTCGTGAAATGTCAACACACCGCCTGGACTCCAGGCTTTCATGATGCCTCTTGTTATGCTCATGATAGATCTCTTTTAAATACAGCTCTAAAGATTCAGCAGCTCCATAGTGTAAGTCATTGTCTCAGGCTACTGATGAATATTCTTCACATGGTGCAACCAAAAGCCTTGTTAAAATAAAGATAAGACAAATTACATCGCTTCCCTTTTCCAGTCAACCAGCCCTGTCTTTCAATATTAGGAGATTAGATAAATCAGACAGAGCATTCTTCATTGTAGAGCCCTGTTGGTTAGCACCCAGTAATTTGCTATTTTAAAACTGTTTTTTAATTGATTTCATGAGTACTATTTCCAGCATGATGTTATATGTATATTAGTTTCTTGGCCAAATTATATAGCAATTTCTTCATATAAAAATGGAACTACTTCTAAAGTTTCAGCATGGACTTGCATTTACCTTTGCAAACAAGAACTATTTTGCTATGGTTTTTATATTTCAACTATAGGCACCCTAATAGAAATAAAACTGTTCTTTCAAAGGCTTCTTAATCTGTTCCAAACATGATCAGTGGGAAAACATGTATTTCTACTTGTAATCAAGGTGGGCTACTCTCCGGTGTTCTTTTAATCATCTTCTATTTTCCTCATATGGCTAGGTAGTAGTATTCTGTCATTCTTAAAAATCTTTGCAAGCGGGCATGTTTTCAGTTATGCATAATCACCACTAAATAATCAGCTTCTTCACTAAGCTCTTTAGTGGAAACTGCATGGCAATAACCTGTCTGTGGCAGATTTCATCTTCAGTGCTCTGACAATGGCCAGAGCAATATATGTCCCGCCCCACTTGCTCTTCTTATGTTCTCCCTTGCAGTGGCGGCAGTCTACACTCCCTCTTCCTGAACTTAGACAGGTCTTTGTAACTGCTTTGACTAATGGAATGTGGTGGAAGTGAGCCTGTCATACGAGGTGCAATGTGGCTTCCACCAGCTTCTGTCTCTGGCTGTCTGCACTTGCCTTTGGATCCCCGCTGCCATCTTGTGAGGAAGTTCAAACCATGTGGAGGGGCCAAACAGAAAAATTCCAAGGGACGCGGGCTCAGCTAAGGTTCCAGCTAGCAGCCAATCTCAACCACCAGGCCAGACTTCAGATCAGAGCTACCCATAGAATTTTCTGTGATGGTGGAAATTTTCTGTTTGAGCTGTCTCAGATGGTAACTGACTACCACATGAGACTATTGAGAAGTTGTAATGTAGCTAATTTGAATGAGGAAGTGGATTTTAAATTTTAAAATTTAAACAACTACATGTGGCTAATGGCTGCCTCATTGGGCCATTTAGCCTTATCTGGTTGTAGCGCTCAGCCTTTGAATTGCCAGCAGAAGCAAAAGACATCATGGAGGAGAAACAAACCATCCCCATGGGGCCCTCTCAATATTCTTAGTTCTCATAAGCCCTGAGGAATAATAATTATTGTTAGCTTAAGCTACTCAGTTTTGGAGTGGTCTGTTACAGAGTAATCAATAATGAGTACGCTGTTTCTACTGTTTTGTTTTCTTGTCCTTTGTTTTTCCCTGTAAATCAAAATGTATAAGTCTTTCCCATCTTTAAAAAGCCCTTTAGCTTTGGGTTTGTGTCTCTGATATTCATGGCCAGGTTCTCTGAATGAGTTGTTTCCACTTCCCATCCTTGTTCACAGCTTATTCACTCCTCAACACCCATTAGGCTCTGGATACAAACGAGGCCATGGTAACATCAGTTCAGGCTGTTTCTCCCACTTAGAAAATGCAGGAGGAATGGACTATGTGTGGCCCTCATTGAAATGTGAACAGTCTGTCTGCCCCACGGTGTGGCCCAAAGGCTGCCATGAAAACAGCTCTTTCAAGCCGGGGTCTTTGCCTCCTTTTCTCTACGGGGTTCGGAACCAGTCATGGGGTATGTCCAGGCCAAGAAACAAAGCAGTTCTCTCCGTGGACACCTTCCTCTGCACACACCTCAGGAGCAACACACAAACCTCCCTTCCATAATCCCCATTCTCCCTGAAACTAGCCTGCCCGCCAGCCCTCAACTATCATCTGGGGGATCCCAAAGGAACTTTAGGATAGCCAAGTAAGTACAACTCCCAAATGTTATTTTTGCCCAGATTAGCCAGACATCTGGGTGGGGAATGTAAGTGAGGGTCTCGATTTCCTAGAACATACTACCTCTGTTACTTAAATGAGGAAATATGTCCATAACACCAGTTCTCTAGAGGTGGGGTAGGCCACCTTCTCTCTCCATTGAGAAAACACAAGTTCATCCCATGGGAAGCTGAAAAAACGCCTCCTTGTGCTCTGGAAGTTGTTGTTGTTTTTTTAATAGTCTCAGAAGGCCTGAAACATGGCATACTGGGTGATATCCAAAGACATCCAAAGGTTAAACAAGTTACATCAAGATTTGACTATTTGCAGTTCATGTTGGGGGTGCATGGTTCAGTATGTAACATATTCCAGTCCAGTATGAATGAAGCAATTTATAATGAAGCGTTCTAATTTGTTTGCAATGTCCCAAAGTATTACTGATTATGTTGTTTTATTACCATAATAAAAGTATTACTAATTATTGTAACTGAATCCACATAAACCATGTCACTCACTTCTCCCCCTACTAATCAGCGTGGGAACAGTAAATTAATAAATGCATTGGTTGCTAACCAAGTTATAAGCTTCCACATTTTTGGTCTAGTGAAAAAACTCAGTGGTATTAAACAGACTAGAATTTTGCAAGAGAAAAGGAAATACTATTTTTCCCAAGATGACATTCTTGGATAGCACTGTCAAAATATTGTCTGATAGGAAAAAATTGCAAGAATGATTAAACTTCTTGTGTATTTAATGGATGTTTCTTTTTGAGCATGAACTAGCACAAGTCCTTCTCAAAATCTTGTGAAGTAGATCGACTTCCTTTTAATTTGAATAAGCATACAATCCTCAAAATTATATTGATGTTTATTAAACTTCAACATTTTAAAGAAAATAGTTTAATATTATGGATACTTTTACCTTCACAATCTAATGTAACCGGGTTTGTTCTAGATCTTCCGATATAAATGTGGTAGAGTGGAAATTGTATTTAGAACACAAATTTGATAGTTCCAGAAACTGGCCAATTAGAATTATTAATCTCTAACTTGGATACTGATTCTTCTATGCAACAAAGCTAAAAGGAATTCCCTTTGCTGGTTTCTCGCTTGGGAATATCTGGGTGTGGTTTATTTTCTTCTCTAACTGAAACAAAGATTGTCAGGAAAATCTTTTACAACTAAAATTCTTTGTCTCACAAACAAGCTTAAGGAGGGGGGGAAAACAGTAGATCAAGTCTGCCTTAATCATTTGCTTATACTGGTGCATATATTGGATTTTTTCCAGGTACCCAAAAATAAAACGACAGGAAAGACATACGCAGCAGTATGTTTAAGCTACTGGCTCACACACATTTTAATGGCTGAAAGTACATTTAAAAAAATGAAGGCGGAAGAAAAACAGTAAGCAGTTATGAAATGTAACAAGGTTTCTTATTCTTTATTAGCTTAAAGGAAGCTAGAACCTGATAACAATATGCCACACATGGTTCAAAACTAAACAAAGGCTGCTTAGTTATTTACTTTGCATTTTATCCTTTTAGGAGGTGAGAAAAAAAAAAAACTCTATTGGCACTCGAGTTTATTTTCAATTAAAATCCCCATAAATTAGAAAACATCTCATAAAACACTGGAAATGGAAAAAAAATGTTACTCAGAAAAAATTTTAAGTGCTTGTTTTCTGTACTGCCTGCGGGTCATTTAAGTCTTATGAGATCTCTCAAAGAAAAAATTCAACCTCTGTGTTCATGTTGATGATAATATACATGTCTTGTCCTTTGATGCAAATAAGAGGAAAAACTCATACTTGTTCAGCTCTGAGAATTGAACCCCCCCTCCAATTCTGCCATTTACTCATGTCCCACATGAATAAAAGGATGCAGCTTAGAAACGAGAGCCTTGCTGTCATTGTATTTTTTCTAATTAAAATTCAGAGTATTAAACACAGTTGAGTACATCCATGCATACATGACATACCGTTATCACATACCGGAAGCTCCGATCCAGAGCACTGAGCAAAGGCTCATCTCATAACATCATTAAGATTCATTATACGCTACAGTTCAAAAAGGGTTTGTCAAAGCAAATAGTAATGGGCTGCCAGAAATGCACAAACAGAAATTTATATTAAATTGTCCTTTCCCTCGTTTTAAAGTATGGGAATCTATTGCATTCCCAGTGTATGAATTCGGAGCTGAACTTAAAAGTCTTACCGTTTCTTCAGATTGCAAAGCATTACCAAAATGGGATATTAAAAAAAATTAGGTGAATAATATTTGAATAACTGGGTGGGGGGTATAGTAATTGAGCATAATGACTGGATTGAAATAAAACAAATAGTGAAGGAGTGTGAAGGTAGATAGAACTCATGAGTCACGAGGCGGAATATTTAATTTGGAACAAGTGAAATAAAAGGATTGCTTTTTTTCCCCCCTTAAGAACCTTTGGTATTCTTTATGTTATAAGCTCTGAAAAGAAAGCTCTCTCATTAAAACATTTTTCCTTGCATATCCTGCTGCGAGAAGATGCCTGGGAAGACAAACTTCACATGCTGGCTTTCCGGCTGTAGTCGTAAGTATGATGTTATTCAGAGATTCGATGGTGAGAATTTATTTCTTTAAACTCGATACTTTTCTTTCCCGTGTTCATTGATCACGCATATGTGCTGAAACAAGAAAGGATTTAAACGCATAGGTTTCTTAACAAAATGTAATGCACTAATAACAGAATGTCATCTTGTAATTGGTTCTTTTTCATTCAAATATATGTGTGCAGTGATGTGTGTGTATGTGTGTATACACATACATTTATGTTATAGGTGTGTATACACACACACACATAAAATTTAAAGAGACCCATTTGAATGCTTGAAAAAGTTTCCTCATTATTCTGGTTTTTGAGCCTTATTCTGAGTGTGGCTCCCTAGGTCTATAACAACCAGAAATGCTGAAGGAGTGGTATGGTTAGCCATGGTGGAGACAGAAGTCTCCACCTGGTCAAATTACAGCCTCTAGGGAGAATGGAGAAACAGCCATGGTAAATACAACACTGGCTCTTACCTGATCCTTTTTAGGTAGCAAGAAATGTGTTGGGAATATGACAATATTCCTGAAAACAGGATAATGAAGTAGCTCACAGAATCAAAAGAAGAGCTAAGCAGTGAAGCAACTGGAAGGTGGGAATGGGGTAACTCCTGACTCCATCCCATGGTGCTTGTGGATTTTCTCTGTGGGGCCCTGTTGTTCAGTGGCAGAAGGTCAAAACCCCTTGATTTCTGTGACTTTTGCTTTAAATTTCTAATTCTTAGCAGAGAGAGAGATGATTGGTCCACTTTGGGTAGGGTGCCTACCTCTAGATCATTAAACATGGGTCAGGGTCACACAGCTCGGGGTCTACACTGGGGTTCCATGTGCCTATGTTGAAGCCACTTCTCCAAAAGAACAGTAGTTATAAACTGCATGCAACTGTAATTAGGATTATTGATGCAAAGTGCCCAGAATATTCCTGACACAGAAGATATTCAATAAGTGGATATCATTAATATCATTAATGATATCATTAATATCAATAAGTGGCAGCCATCATTACTACTATTTCAACAATGTGTTAAATTGACATTAACTGTTAAGTTCCTGCAAAAAGGAGGGTAGGGATTTGCGTGCATGACTTACATTCAGATCTCGGAAGTATTCATTGTAATCTAAGGCATAACCCACCACAAACAGATTTGGAATCTCAAATCCAACATCTGAGTAGAGAGAGGGGGAGAGAAAGGAATAAAATTTAGATAACATAAGTAGATAAGCCACCATAAGCTATTGTTGGCACTTAAAGCGTGAGGACCTTTCATTTAGGCAGAAGCAAGTGGGAAAAATGATAAGCAATGTATAGGATGAGCCTGATGGGACCTGGACCAGAGTGACCAGCTGGGGAGACAAGGTAAACAAGCAAACATACTAGGAAGAATGACTGCACTTCTGCCACCCAGAGCTGAGTAAGGAATCAGCCAGCCCAGCAGATAACACGAAGTATGCATGAGTTAGTCATGTAGCCCCACTGTTTCAAAGCGAGCAATAGCCAATGATATAATGCCAAAGGAAACACTTTGGAAGCATAAAGTGCTGTTCAAACAGAAGGTATTCCAGTACTGGGATATGTGACTAAGTGCATGGGCTATTGCCGCTGGAAAGCGCCCCTCCCACTGTGCTCAAAGTCCTCAGCTTGACAAGGGGCTGGAAAGCAAAACGTCAGGGACCACATGAAAGGAAGTAGGATTGTTCCGTTTAAGAAAGAGCACGCTAAGGGTTATTCTAACACGAGTCTTTGACTCCAGGATGCAGATGATATTAATTAGCTCTCTATCTCTATTGAGGGAAGAATGGCAGTAAATGGATTTAAATGCAGTATGAAGTACTTAGGCCAACCAAGGGAAGAATTTATTGAAAGGGAGATGATTTTTATTGAAAAGAATCCTTAACGAACAGACAGTAACTCTCCTTCTCCTTCTGTCTTGAAATGGAACAAATATGCCTATGATCCAGTGATTTTTCAAACTCTTTCCCGTTGTTTTTGAATCTGCTGGATACAAGGTTGCAGGTGAAAGATGTACTCGCTTACTTTCAGGAGGCGGTACTTTGGTGTAGCCAATGGTCTGACAGCACAGCGCAAGTTATCCTTCTGGTGACTACTCTCCACCATTTTGATCCCTATTGACCAGAGATGTTTTTATATGGAGGAAGCTGGTTCCTGCTTGCAGAAAGTGCCAGAGGAGAGGGACTTACTATCTAGAGGATTGCATCATATGTCACTGATAGAAAGCCCAGCTGGTCCTTCCAAACTGTAGGTTGCTTGAGAAAAAGAATCCAAGAGGAGAAGCAGGAGAAAAGATATCAGAGCATATAAATGGGAAAGAGCCCATTATGAGAAAGGAAGCAAAACTACCAAGCCTCAGAACTCCAGAAAGAAGAAACAGAGATTCTCAACCAGCTACAAGGATATCAGAAAATCCCAGGGAACCCTGGCTATAACTACAAAAATGACTTTACAGTGACCAATGCAATCTCTACAGTAGGCATGACAACCGGGCCTGGGGAAAGCCAGTTCAGAAGGCCAAACCTTCAGAGCTGTCACGGGATGAAAGAAGGACGTTGGGTCAGTGGATCAGGGGAATGGTTAGGAATCAGAGTGACCTATCTCTAGCTGCTAACTGGGTGCAGTTTCTACACTTCTATTTGCAATTACAGATGTTACTTACAGATGTAGTGCAAGGGTAACGGTAGTGTCTGGAACCAGACTGCCTGGGTGCAATACTGACTCTACTCTTACAGCAGTGTGACCTTGGAAAGCTCTCTAACCTCCAATTTCCTCATCTGTAAAATGGGCATAACAATAGCATCTACTTTAGAGGAATGGTGTGAGGATTACAGGTGTTATTCTCTGTGTAGCTCTTAGAAGATTACAGGGCACACCATAAACTCTTACTAGTGTTACCTGCTAATATTTTATTCATGTGGTTGCCGTAAATGACACACAAAAAATCTGTAGTTAGTTGGATATGTCTGAAGTGAATGTCTTTCAACTTCAGTTAAAATCTTATCTATACAAAATCTTAGAAGATTTCTGATTACTCACTTTGCCTAACCCTACCGCATCCAGATTATGCTCCCCAAGCCAGTAACTGGACAGAAACATCTGCCCAGAACTGACGTTGGGTCTGTCTGCTCAGAACTGATGTCCAGATTTAATACATCCAGCATAGGAATGAAATTTGTTTTTAGAAAAAAGAATCACTGGCGAAATGTCATTGGCATACTCCCCATCCATAGTGTGCTTCTCTCGCTCTGATGTTTTTTCAGCTTGCTGATGAGAACCGTAGCCAAATTATCCCAGGGGCTTTTGAGCAAATGTAAGTTACAAAAATCAAGCTGAAGTCTGCCTATGCAAGTGAAAAAAATGGCCTCTCGTGTTAGAATAATAAATAATCAAGCTGCTTGCTTATTCTTCCTGGCATCGGAACTATTCGTATTATGGGGAGGTGGGCAGCCGAGTGCCCTAGCTGAGGTTAAGTCCTCCAGAACACATATCTGAAGGCAAGTGTGAAGATGGTATCTGGAGCTCTTTGCTCTGCTAATTCTCTGTGTTCTTGAACTTTTCTTTGGAGATGATGGGAGGCGTCTCAGGTTTCCCCTCCTGCGTGCTAAGATTCAGGTTTGTGGAAGGTCAGCATTGGGCACTGTCCGGTGACAGTTCTTGGAGACAGAACGGGAATCCTATGCCTTTACAGTGCCTTCCCAATGTCTGACTGAAAAGGGCAGTCGCAGAGGCAAGGATCCTGTGTGCCAGCCAGTCTGGTGGGGTCAAGTCTCCCTCAACCCCCTGCAACCGATTAGCTGTGTTCTTTGGCTTTAAGGTGCTATGGAAACCCTAGAACTAAAAGTATCCAATGCACATGACAGAGTTTCTGTGAAAAACGCAAACTGGAAAGTTAAAAACCCTTGTTGTAAAGGGTTCTTTCCTCCCGCCAAGGCTGGGGAGACCTCGGGAGATTTGGGGGACCATCAAACCTTCATAGCTTCCGCCTCACGTGGAGTGCCAGCATACAGGAAACAGAGATTCTTAAAGGGGAAACACCACCACCAGCCAACCAATCGACCCACAAAAGCCAGAAGGACTTACAGTCAGGTCTAAAGCCATCACTTCTAGGTGTTCTCTTCACCAACAAACTACCGTGAAAAAAAAATGGTGTTTAGTGATCCAGATATAACTTCTGTGAATTACAAATAGAATTGAACATCATTAAAATATGTATTTCCCCCCCGGAGCGAGTGGGGCACCCTCACCGCGCTCTAATTCATGCTCCTGCTACCGTGGCATCACATCAGCGATTCTAGATAAAAGGGAGAGGGGCCCTGGCACCAGGCTCAGCCAGCTGCTCCTGGAAACAGCTAATGGAGGCACAGACACCCAGCAAAGCATGCCTTCGTCCCCTTCCTCTCTCTCAGGCCAGCGGTCAAATGGGCTATTTGTTCAGTGTGGTCAAACCGTAACACCCCAGGCCGGGGGTCACCGGTTTGGAATAGACTGCTCTCTTTGGAAACAGCATTCCGTGTTAGCTTCCTTCTCCGGCTGACTTGCAAAGACAGAAGCAACAATGCTGTGAATGTCCTACTCACCTGGCTACCTTAATCATGTTGGGCTTGTATTTCTCTATGCTGCTGAGCAGCGCCTTCATGGTCCTCCCCGTTCCAACAACATCCTTTGCAAAGAGGACAGACAAATTCAGCCCCAATGCATCTGGGCAGCATAATAGATTTTTCCTCCAGACAGATGACTGTAGTCCTTATTAATAATGCATCACAATTAGAACTGCCATCGAATGGGGTCAAAGTAGGAAGCAGAGTTGGTTATATTTTTTAGACAGGTGCCTGTCTCTGAAGCTGGGTGTAGGGGAATATATTGGCGAATTATTTCCTCTTGGAGTCCTTCAGCTGTGTTGAAAGCTAAGTTCGGCCTTCTGGAGAGCATGTGGGGCTGCTCGCTGAGTACATTTGGACTCGTGCATGCACATTCAAGGACTAAATTTGGCCCTGAGGTTATGCACAACACAATACGGGACGCATGAATTTTCATGGACATGGGATGTACATCTGAATACACTGAATGGATAAACACCTCCCCCTTGCCCTCCCCAGTCAATAGGGGATTCTACGGCTGGGAAGAGAGATGTGTCTGGGCGGCAGCTGGTGACAGCCTGTGAATTCTGAGGGTGCGAGGCTGCAGTGAGCCTCGGCTCATCTCTGCTGATGAGCTGCTGCGCAATTAGAGGAGAATGGGCAGCAGAAATGCATTGTCCTTGGGACAGAAATCAGCTGTCAGGAGCTGATTATCAAAACAACAGGTCTGAATTTAGCCAGGGTTGGGCAATTCGTTTGGCTAGAGGGTCTACTTCAGGGGTAATGCCCGAGCCAGGACGACTGCAGATACATATGGCACACACAGGCGATTGTGTAACAAAAGCTTGAAAACAGCTCCCTTGAATTGTTGCCAGCTGATAAGACAGGCGTGCTCTTGAAGGAAAAGTGGCCATTTGCTGATTTGGTCCACTGCCGCTCTGGGGCCCACTCTGTCTCATTTATTTAGCAGAAAAATTAAATTCTCGCTTTCTCTTGGGTTGCCATTTTAAAATTGATTGCATTTATCCTTTGGTTGCTGAAGGTAGAATTGTTTGAAGTCATTAGAGATCATTAGCACAATGAAGCAACGGTGAAAAGAGTTCAAACCTTGGTTTTACCATTAAACACATTTGGTTCTGTTGGGCTAGTTTCCTCTTCTGTAAAAATGCCTAACTCGCAAATAAGTATAAGAACCGATTCAGACATAAAAATGGATAAAGTACTACAAAACTATTATTGCAAAGCTCTTATTCTGAATTGTTTGAAGCCACTGGTTCTAGTTGGCTCCTAGGCAGTATATCTGGAGAACCATGTGCATAGTGGAAATTCAATAAATCCTTGACCAATTTGATAATAAGTTCTAGATTTCAAAACTCAACATTAGATTCTTTCAGCTAACAAATGTGGGTAAGGAAAAGTCAGCTTACCTCAACAATGAGGACGTTCTGAAATTAAAAACAAAAGAAAACAGTTATTTAGAATATGATGTAAACATGGCTCACAAGATAGACACACATTTTTGCTGAAAGTTAGGAATTTCACAATTTGCTTAGCTGGCCATCTGCCATCCATCTCATCCAAATGCTTGGAGGTAATCTAGGTTTTACAGATTTATTTTAACAGTCTCGGCAATTTCCTGATGCTGCAATATTGGTATCTACATTCAGGGGAGCAGCAAGGTCATCTCGGACCCTATACCTGTCTGAAGAGCTATTCACAAGGCATTCCACGTCCATAATTCTGGCAAGCAGCCCCATTCCAGAATTCTTTGGCATACAAAGTCTACTAAGAGTTTACCAGGAAAACAAGCCACATAAGCTACGTTGTTAATGGAGAAAGTGCTCTGCAGATGAATCACAGACTCAGCTGGGACAGTCCTAATCCTGCGTCGCCACCTGTCATTGAGGATTCTGTATTTACTCTTGAACGTTCAACCTTGAGGAAGGGGTGGACTAGGGAGAGTGATGTGAAGTGCCTGGTTGATGTTTTTTGAAACATGGTCGGGTTCCTTGCTATGTGCTCTCAAGGCATACCTCTCCTTTCCCCCTAAAAACATTGATTATGTTTCATTTCAATTCCTGGTTGATACTTGTCTTCCCACTAGATATAAACTCCATGACAGTGGAAATCATGTTTGTCTTGCTTACTATTGTAGTCTCAGCCCCTCGCACATATACTTGCATATAGATGCTCAGTAGTTTATTAAGTGGAGGAATAATAACCGATTACACTGTTTAATTAATTAAAACTAACCCATTAAATGGATTCATAGTTACAAATCAATACTATCCCATCAAATTAAAATATGACTGTTAATATGGCATTGCAATGAACTTAAGGTGTGGATATTCCCTCAATGTACTGTTGTCTTTCTTTAGATAATTCTTCATTTATCCCTATGATTCACATAATACTTTAAAAATTCTATCAAGCCTTACACCTTAGAAATCTTACTTGTCTAATGCCAAAGAGATTTAAGTAATAAAAATGTTAATCAACCAACCCAAACCATATTACTGCATGTGTCCAATGTTTCTTAGAAGGAAATCTCTTTCTGGAAGTGTTTTGCTCCCAAGTATTTTTCATCATTAAATACATTTAAAAATCTTAGTTTTACAATTAAAATGTAAAGTTATCGTGTCTGTATCCCTTAGGACCACAGGAACAGAGGAGTCCCCTTGGTAATCTGAGCACATTTGCTATGTTCTTGACAATGAACCCATAACAGTTAGGATGCGCCATTTTAGTTTGATTGACGCTTACCAACCATGCCCATTAACCAACCTGAATACTTGGAGAACACTTGGTTAATTTAATTCCTTAGTTCATAATCTCTTTTTGTTTCAATCTAATAAGGAAAACCCTTTTAAAACTCTGTTAGTCTGCATTCTTGCCTAATTAAATAAAGTGCACTGAACATAATTAAATCTGTTTTTTCAAAGTTTAGAACCTTGCAAAACAAGAGTCATCTTTGAAAAGATTACCTATAAATATAAGATAGAATGGTGGCTGGGAAGTGGGACTTGAATGTATACTAATCCAGAGATATATTGTTAAAATTACTTAAACACATTTTAATTTTTTTTAATGTTTTATTTATTTCTGAGAGAGAGAGAGAGAGAGAGAGAGAGACAACATGACCAGGGGAGGGTCAGAGAGAGAGGGAGACACAGAATCTGAAACAGGCTCCAGGCTCTGAGCCAGCTGTCAGCAGAGTCTGACGCGGGGCTCGAACCCACAAACCGTGAGATCATGACCTGAGCCGAAGCCGGATGCTTAACCGACTGAGCCACCCAGGTGCCCCACTTAAACACATTTTAAAAGCAAGGTAATGACATATGTGCTCAAATAGAAAAGTCAAAAGATGTTATAAATATTGATGAGCATGTAACTGTAAAGTATTTAAAATGCTTATGTACTTTATGTTTAAAGTTATCATGGCATTCTATGTAATGCGTAGCCACAATATTGTCACGTCTAGCAAAAATGACAATCATCTATTTTGGTTTTTTCATTTGTTCCAGTTTTATTGAGATATAATTGACATACACTGTGTAAGTTTAAGGTGTACCATATAATGCTTTGACTTATATATATTATTGAGTAATTACCTAAACAAATTTACTTAGCGCCTATCATCTCATATAGATACAACAAAAGAAGACAGCAAAAAAGGAAAACATTATTTTTTCCCTTATGATGAAAACTCTTAGGATTTATTCTCTTAACAACCTTCCTGTATATCACAGAGCAATGTCAGCTACAGTCATGATAGTGTATATTTCATCCCTAATACTTATTTATTATCTTATAACTTATTATTTATCTTATAACTAAAAGTTTTTACCTTTTGACCACCTTCACCTGATTTCCCTGCCCCCTACCCCCACCTCAGGGAAGCACAAATCTGATCTCTTTTTCTATGAGTTTGGTTTTTGTGTTGTTTTGTTTTAGATTCCATGTATAAGTAAGATCACACAGTAATTGTCTTTATCTGTCTGATTTACCTCACTTAGCATAATGCTCTCAAGGTCTATCCATGCTGTTGTAAATGGCAGGATTTCCTAGTCTGTTATTGCTGAATAATATTCCATCATGTGTGTGAGTGCGTGCGTGCGTGCGTGCGTGTGTGTGTGTATCACAATTTCTCTATCTGGCAATAATTTCTTTTTTTAATGTTTATTTATTTTTGAGAGAGACAGAGAGTGAGTGGGGGAGGGGCAGAGAGAGGAGACACAGAATCTGAAGCAGGTTCCAGGCTCCAAGCTGTCAGCATAGAGTCCAACGCAGGGCTCAAACCCATGAACTCTGAAATCATGACCTGAGTCACTCAAGCGCCCCTGGCAATAATTTCTTAATATCATACAAAATCTAGTACATATTTCAATTTCCCCAGTTGTCTTTATTTTTTTTAGGTTTATTTATTTATTTTGAGAAAGAGCAAGCACAAGTGGGGAGAGACAGAGAAAGAAGGAGAGAGAGAGAATCTCAAGCAGGTTCTGTGCTGACAACATGGAGCCTGATGCTGGGCTCCATCTCACAAACTGTAAGATCAGGCCCTGAACCAAAATCAAGAGTCGGATGTTTGACCAACTGAGCCACCCAGGTGCCCCTCTCAAGTTGTCTTTAAAATGGCCTTTGTAGCTGCTTTGTCTAATTGAAGCCCATGCATTGGGTCTTTAATTCTCTTTTAATTTAAAATAGTCTCTCTTACTGTACTTCTGTTTCTCATTTTAGTAATTTTAGACATCATTTATTTGCTATATTATATAATGATGAGAACTTAGTTCTTATATACTATCTCACTTCTCTTTTCCATCTCCCAGTGCAGATGCTTCGTTATGACTGTATCTTCTTGTACTGCTCACATTTTTTCCCTACTGCAGAGCCAAGTAGAGTACTATAATTATGTTTCCTTTTAAAGTTTCTTTTCTTCTAATTGTTTCTCTGTCACCATCCTGTGTGTTAAACTGCAATAACCCCCCTTCCCTCCCCTTCCCTCCCCTCCCCTCCCCTCCCCTTCCTTCCTTTCTTTCTTTCTTTCTTTCTTTCTTTCTTTCTTTCTTTCTTTCTTTCTTTCTTTCTCTCTTTCTCTCTTTCTCTCTTTCTCTCTTTCTTTCTTTCCAAGCTAGTCTTTCTTGGAAGGCTTATTATGAGGAAAACATTGGTTAATTATGGTTTAACTATATTTCTCAAAGAATTTTGGAGGATTAAGGAGGCTAAGTAGGTTGGTAATATCTGTAACAACACAAAAAACTTTCTGAGTTGTGTACAGTATTTAAAAATTAAAATTATTTAGTGGGTTCACAAATGATGGGCAAGGGAATACTGATATGAAAAAAATCTCCTATTGAAAGGGAGCTCGGTAGAAACTTAGAATTTTTTAGCGACTTAAATAGAGTGGTCATTACTTATATATTTATTTTCCTTTAAGAACACTACACTGTGTTTTCAAATTCTTTCCTTAGTAATATGTGGGTTTATTGTCTGGATTGTTAGTGGACTACTTGTTGTATGAAAAGCTCACTTCCAATAAAGCAATGCCTTTAGTACCTTTGGAAGATTGCCATACAAAACAAGAAGACCGAGAGTACAGAGAAAGTGACTACCCCAACTTTGGAAGAATTTTCACTAGTGTCTAAGAGAACTAATCTCTTTAAACTTTAATATATCAGGATTCACTCCACAAGCTAAAGGACAAAGACAAATTCATCTTTATAACATGGAGACCAGTATTACAGGTGCTCAAGGAATGACCATGGAACAAATTAACAATTTTGACCTCATTTCTTTCTCTAGTTCATTATTCTTTTGACACATGTCCTCCATTTTTCCCCTCAATGATGTATAAGTCTTCCTTAACTGAGCTATAATTAATGTCTACTACTTTTAATTTTGCACTAAGAAATCCTCCAACGCCCCCACCTGTTTTTTTGAGTGTCAACCTTGGAAATTTTTAAAATAATTTTTTTAAGTTTATGTATTCATTATTGAGAGAGAGAGAGCACAAGCTGGGGAGGAGCAGAGAGATGGGGGAGACACAGAATCCAAAGCAGGCTCCAGACTCCTAGCTGCCAGCACAAAGCTTCCATGCAGGGCTTGAACCCACAGACTGGGAGATCATGACCTGAGCTGAAGTCAGACATTTAACCGAATGAGCCACTCACGCCCCCCCCCCCGCCCCCGACATTTTTCAGTGCCTCCTAAGCACTTCCAATCTGATAACTCAGATCACTGAATCTGAGGTGCTCGCCAGTTACTGACTACGCCATCTCGTTACACCCAGACAGTAAAGAAAGTCTGCAACCTGGGGGCAGCAGGCCAATATTCTATGGGGAGTCTCTGGAGCACATCCTTTCTTTGCTGTGGTGCGATCCCGAGGGAAGCAAATCCCCTCACTTTCCCTGAAGAAAAAGAAAGGGAAGAAGAAAAAGAAGAAGAAAAG